ATTACAGACATGAGCCACCATACCTGAACTCAGTGGTAGTTTTATAAACCAGGACCAATGACTCAGCCTTTAGACTGTAGCCTGAGATGTATCCACTGTCATTTTGCAATGACCCTAGAGGTAAAGGTGCTCTCTCTTCTTATTCTCATGAAAAATGTGATATATTTTAGTTTCCTTTCTCAGTCTACTAATATCTTATTAAGTTGACATGATTGTAGCTGTGCCTCCAAAAGGGGACAGCAACAATAGCTCTTTGAAAATGGGTAAATTCTTTGCAGCCAACTCTGTGTTGAATGTTTCATGTATAACCTGTCTTCCCAGTTGGGTTGAGAGCCTTTTGAAGGCAGTAGTTGTAACTTTTACGCTCCCTGATCTCCTTATCCTCTCCTCTGCCCCACAATTCCAGCAATTGGTTACCACGCCATCTTAATTCTTTTTCTGAAGTGTGTAGTAGACAACTTTTAGGGTGTCTGCCCAGTTCACAGAGATCACTGCCCTCTCTTGAAATCTGTTCTCATGGCCATAAATGTACTACATGACTCTTTCTGAGGCAACAGCTGAATTGGACCAGTGATAAACGAGTGCCACAATTTGAACCAATAAGACTCATACTCTCTCTCTTTCGCTTTCTGAAATTTCAAATTAAGATTCAGAAACAGCTATTTCATTTCTGCTTATGGCTTGAACTGTAAGATGAACTCAGAGATATAGGCTTGCAATAGTCTGCCAAGTAGAGAGAGAAGCAGAGGAAGCCAGTCTGCACAGAGAGAATTAAGCAACACATAGAGAGAAGCAGACATGCAGAGATAGCTGACACCTTTCTGGTTAAGTTCCAGTCAGTTCAGAGGTCCAGATGCATTCCTGTCTGGGAGCATGATGATGCTCTTTTGTAAATCAATAATAAATCCCTTGCTATGCCCTTTGTGTGTTAGCTTAAGCTGTCTTTTGCCCTTGAAATCTAAAGAGTTCTAAATAATATAAAACGTCTGATATACAGAAAGCAGAGTGATGGTCGCCAGGGGCTGAGAGGAAGGGGAAAATGGAGAATTACTTAATGGTTATAGTTTTAGCTTTGCAAGAGGAAAAATTGTGGAGATTGGTTGTACAACAGTGTGACGATACTTACCACTACTGAACTGCATGCTTAGATTTAGTTAAGATGGTAAATTTTATGTTGGGTGTGTTTGATCACAATTTAAAAAAATAGTTTAAAAATGTTTGTTATCGCCAGATTCCTTGTCTTCCTCATGAATACAGCCCTGTTGGGATCTCCTGGATAATTGTAGTCACCAAGCTGGCCTTCCTACTTCTGCCCCCTTGGAAGTTAGTCTCCAGCAATCTACCTTATACAGCAACTGATATTTCTAAAACAGCACTAAAATCATGCCATACTCCAACATGCAAACCTCCGTGGTTACTTATTGAATTCAGGATCAAGTTTACACTCTCCAGCCTACCCTACAGGATCCAACAGACCTTTCCAACCTCTGACCTATAACAAGAAGCAAATGCTAGCCAGGTTAGTCTGCCTTATTCCAGAACTGTACTTACTTACTCACGCTGTTTCTTCACTGTGGATACCTTCCTTCTCCTCACTATATCTTATCTTTCTTTCAAAGCCAAGGTCCAGACCCACCAATTCTATAAACCATTGCTTACCACTATAGTCCTCTGGGGACATTTGTTATTTAAATTGTACTTCTTTGCTTTTAAATACAGTTTCCTATACATCTATCTTGTCCCTTTGCTAGATTATAAATTGCTTGATGACAGAACCTGTGCTTCATAATCTTTTATTTTTCCTAGATACTTGTGCTCTTGGTAGCTCTTAATAATGCTTGTTGCATGAAATCTGAAATGAAGAAGGGCTGCTTCACCTGCTTGTCTCTTCAAGACAAATACTTGCAGAGAAGTACATAGTAGAAACATTTATTGAACACTTCGCATTTGCCAGATACCATGTCAACTTTTTAACATAGATTATATACTTCGTTTAATCATCCCAACAACCTTATTAAACACATATGATTATTATCCTCATATTGCAGATGAGAAAACATAGGCTCATATAGTTAAATAACTTGCCCAAGATCATATCTATTGGTAGGAAGCAGAGTCATGATTCTGAACTAAGTCTGTTTGGCTCCTAAGCCTATGCTCTTTCTACTATATCACCACATATCCCACCCTCTATTGTTATTGCTGGCTTTATTGCTTGTTTTTCCTGTGCATTACAATCTCTCCAGAGGCAGGAATTTTATCTCAGTATGTCTTAGGGGCTCACTACAAACCTATAGAGAAAAAAAAGGCGAGAAGAAAGAAGGTGGGGGTGGGGGAGAAAGAAAGGAAGGAGATCGAGAGGCAGTGAGAGAAAGAGGGAGGGAGCCACACAGGGAGGGAAGAAGGAAACGAGGGAAGAAAAGAAGGAGAGGAGAGAAGAGTCTCTGAAGTGGAGTTTGTCACTCTGCTAAGCTTGGCGAGGATCAGTCTTGCAAGGGACTTGACCAAAAAGCACTGGCTTATCTGTCTGAGCCATATTCTCAATGTCATTGATCCCTTCCCTCTGGGGAATAATTCAACCATGTGCTTACTGTATAGATGATGGTGATGATGAATATTCTCTTGCCTCAGTCTCTTTTGGCCAGGGTTCCTTGGCTTCCAGCCTGTTCCTTGCTTGTTTTGAACAAATAACATATGACCTTTTCTGTTTGGCAAATGCTGAACTATGGCCCCTCTTCACCACCAAGTCTCCAGATAAAAAGCAAAATATGCACCTTCCTGACCATTCTTGGCCCCTGCCCCACAATCAGTCATACATGGAGAGTGATAGAATATGAGTGGTAACATGAGTACAAGAGAGGATGAGTATATAACCCCTAGCTACAGTTCCTGAGATTATGCTGTTGAGGATTATTTATTTGGGTTAAGAGTCTCCTCACTACCACATGTCAGTCTCCCTACCTAATAAAATGAGAATATTAAGATTGCTATAAAGATTAAATGGGTTAATGTATATAATGTGCTTAGCATAGTACCTGTCAATAAATGGTAGCTATTATTGTTGTCATTAGTAGCATTAGCAGTACTAACAGTATTAAGATGCATGATATCCTGGGAAAGGTAGCACGTTAAGTCAGAATCAGTCATGAGTTAACTTAGGGGCATTAGTATACTAACTTTTTCATGCTGCTTCCCAAAAAGATGGTTTTTCAAGATGAGTAGCGTGTAAAGATGATTTATTAAAGAAGAAGGGTCTGGAAATTAGGAATACTGTGTATTCAGGTTGTGTGTGAGGAGACAGGAAAGAACTGAGGCAGAGCACAATTGTGTTTAGGGGAAACTCTGATTGCAAGGAATAAAAAGCTAATTAGACTTGCTAAAACCATAAGAAAGTTTGTGAGGAGGGCACTGGGTAAGTGGAGGGACCAGAGAGCAGAGCTTCCTCTCGCATTCCTAATTCTCCTGAATTCCACATGACTTTATTCTCTCTTTAGGCAAACAGACTTTCTCTCCACAGTGGTGATGTTCACCAATATCATTCCTTAAGTCTCATCTTTTTAGTTCTGTGACCAAAAATGCAAAGCTTTTTCTCCTCTAGTTTCAAAATTTAAAAAGGAATCCCAAGGCAGAACTTTTATTTTATTTTTTTTGAGTTGGAGTCTTAACTCTGTCGCCCAGGCTGGAATGCAGTGGTATGCTCACAGCCACCTCAGCCTTGACCTGCTGGGCTTAGGCAATCCTTCCGCCTCAGTCTTCCAAGTAGCTGGAACTACAGATGAACATTACCACACCTGGCTAAGTGCAGAACATTTATTGGCTAGGCCTGAGTTTCATGCGTCTCTAACCCTAGAGAAATCGCTTTGAATAGGGAAATTCAGAGCTAGCATTGGTGGTTCCACCACACTCATAAAAATGGAGCAAAGTAGGAACTAGTCAAATAGAAATCAACAAGCCCCTGCTGGCTTTTTAGTGTGAGTATGTGGTTTGAAGAATCCAGACACTTAGAGCCTCGATGGACCTGAAATTTTCCTTTAGGTAGATGGAAATCCACATTTTTCTAGCTAAAATTTTTCCATTCTCTTTGTGAGAAGTTTCCATGGAGAGGCTAGCTTTGTGGAAGAGAGTGGGAAGAAAACAACTCATGCTGTTTTTCACTGGGGCACATTCTTATCGCTACTTTAGTCCGGTCCTGCCCACAGCTCATACATTATTCTCTACTCTTTGTGGCTTCTGAGCTTTTTCTTTGTGCACTGCTCATAGTCCCTTCCCTAAAAGCTACTCTATTAAGAGGGAGATTAGCCAAGTGGGCTGGTTTGATTATGGGCTTATTTAACTCATAATCACATATCTGGAAAAGAAAATGTCAGACACAATTTAATAGTGCCAGATATAAAACATGAAGTAGAAAGACCTCTTCAGCAAACTGCAGGCTTGCTAGTAACCCACAGACAAATGGAACTATGATTCTACTGGAACAGGTGAGGAAATAACACAATGAGGAATAGTATTTAAGATGAATTGAGATGGCCCGGTGCAGTGACTCACACCTGTAATCCTAGAACTTTGGGAGGCCAAGGCAGGAGAATTGTCTGAGCACAGGAATTTGAGACCAGTCTAGACAACATAGTGGACATCATCTCTACAAAAAAAAATCAAAAAATTAACTGTGTGTAGTGGTGCATGCCTGTAGTCCCAGCTACTTGGGAGGCTGAGGCGGAAGGATAACCTGAGCTCAGGAGGTCAAAGATGTGGTGAATTGTGGATGGTGCCATTGTACCACAGGCTGCGTGACAGAGTGAGACCCTTGACTCAAAAAAAAAAAAAAAAAAATCAATTGTGTCAATGTCCAATTTTGTCCGGGAAGAGCTTTGCTGTGGGGGATGCAAGGAGATGACATCAAGTCTTTAGAAAAATGTCGGGACGCCCTGCCCCCGCCGCCCACGGCTCGGCTGGTGTCCGCACACCGCTGGTGCCCGGAAGCTTCCCCTTCTTGGAGGGTCATGATGGGCAGCAGGATGGCGTCTGCCAGCCGGGTCGTTCAGGTGGTGAAGCCACACACTCCATTAAGAAGATTCCTTGACAGAAGAGACAATCCTAGACCCAATGTATCAGAAGCTTTGAGATCAGCAGGGCTACCATCTCACTCTCCTGTAATTTCACAGCAATCTAAGGGAAGTAAATCACCAGATTTGTTGATGTATCAGGGTCCACCAGACCCTGCAGAAATAATAAAAACATTACCTCAGTAATACAGAAGGAAACTTGTGTCTCAAGAAGAAATCGAATTTATTCAACGTGGAGGTCCAGAATAATCCCTGTGGCTACTGTTTGTCATCAGACAAAAGAATAATCTTTACATAAAGGACTTCCAAAATGAGAAATTGTATATGAAACAACTTTAATAAATATTCAGGAAAAAAAAGAAAAATGTCTATATGTTTAGGGTAAAAGTTAAGTAATGAGGCCGAGAGGAGTGGCTCACACCTATAATACCTGCACTTTAGGAGGCCAAGGTAAGAGGATTGCCTGAACCCACAGGTTCGAGACCAGCCTGGCAACTTGGTGAGACCTCATTTCTACAATAATTAAAAAAATTAACCGGATATGCTGGTTAGTGCCTGTAGTTCCAGCTACTTGAAAGGTTGAGGTGGAAGGATCACCTGAACCCAGCAGGTCGAGGTTGAAGTGGCTGTGAGCATGCCACTGCACTCCAGCCTGGGAGACAGAGTGAGACTCCAACCCCCCTCCCCCCAAAAAAGTTAAGTAATGAGAGAAAATAAATGCAATATAATCTCATTGACTACCTGGTTAGGCTTGGTATGAACTGTGTCTGTGATGGTGCTGTTAATTTGGAGACTGACCATTGTCCTGCCCTAGTTGGTAAGGGTTTGATTCAGATGGAGAGAAACAATAATTCTTTAACAGTGTACAAAGCACTTTCTTATACAATATATTATTTTAATCTTCCCAACCAGCTCAATGGGATAGAATGTTATTTCCATTTCACAGAGGTGGAAACTTGAGCTGGAGCCAGGAACTTGAGTTTGGAAAGTTGAACATCAATGATTCTAAATTTTAGTGCACAGAAGCACCTAGTGAACTTCTAAAATGTGTATTTCTGTTCTCTACATCCAGAGAGGCTATTGAGTCAGTCTGGGGAAAGGCCAAGGAAACCAAATTTTTATTATTCACTCCAGGTGATTTTGAAGCATGGAGTCCACTGAATACACTTATGAAGCACTACTCTAGGCTCTAGGTACTAGCTCAGTTGACTGTGTGAGAGAAACTGAAATACAAAACTACGTAACCAAGTTTTTTAACCATTCTGAACCTCAGCTTCCTCATCTGAAAAATGGATGATGATAATAAAAATAGCTAGGTTCCATGCCAGATGATTTACATATTTCGCCTCATTTAATCTTCCATAACCCAAGGAGATTGGTGCTATTGTTGTCCCTATGCTATATGACTCAACCCCAGATAATTTCCATTTACTCTTTTATAATTGTAAGGAAAATTCGAGTTAATACATAGAAAGTATTCAGCAGATATTTCTGATATTGACTGAATGGAAGGAGCTATTATGACTACTAAAACTGACAATGCTGACAATACAGCCACTTCTAAAATGCAGGATTTGAATCAGATAATCTCTAAGGTCCCTTCCAGCTCCACCATGCCATGATTTCAGCATAGCAAGTATATGCTATATTTATGAAAAGAGTGTAACAGTAACTCAACTACACACAATTGAGAGATGTATTGATTTTTTAAAAGTAAGCTTATATATAGACAAAGACTAGACAGAGAAAAATGAACAGAATTATTGACTTTGATAGTAGGGCTATGGGTAGTATTTATCATTTAAAAGTTTTATTTTATATGTATTAATATAATTGCTGTAACAAATAAAAATATGGAAGAAAAGTTCTATTTCTCTTGTGCTATCAATTTACAGTATACTTCTTTTTTAATTTTAAAGATGTGGTGTACAATTCAAGGTTAGGTACATCAGTGGTCATTGTACAGGTACAATGTACATAAGTGATCATTGTACAGGTACAAAGTTTGGGCCTCCCATTGGTCCTCACTTTGCCTGATTTGGAATCAGGTACCTTTACTAATGTTATATGCTACCCCCCACCCCTGGCAGTGATCTGCTACTGCCAATCTCTTTTATGTAGTATTATGATAAATGTTCAGGATCCACTTATGAGTGAGAACATGTGGCACTCAGTTATTTGTTTCTGCAATAGATCACTGGGTACGATAGGTTGTAAATCCATCCAAGTTGCTGTGAAGTCCATGGGTTTTTCCTTCTTTGTGGCTGTGTAATATTCCATTGTGTATATGTACCACATTTAAAAAAATTCAGTCCACTTTCGATGAGCAGCACGATTGATTCTATGTTTCTGCTCTTGTGAATAGTGCTGCAATAAACATGCATGCAAAGGTATCTTTTTTGTAGAATGATTTGAGTTTCTCCAAGTATATTCCCAGAAGGGGGACTGCTGGGTTGTATGGAAGGTTGATTTTTAGATCTTTTAGAAATACCACACTGTTTTCCACAGAGGTTGTACTAGTTTATGCTCCCACCAACAGTGTAGAAGCATTCCCTTTTTTCCACATCCTCTCCAACATCTGTTGATATTTGAGCTAATAATGATGGCCATCCTGACTGGAGTTAGGTGGTATCTCAGAGTGGTTTTGATTTGCAATTCCTTGATGATTAGTGAGGCTGAGCATTTTTTTCAAGTATCTATTGGCTGCGTGTATGTCTTCTTTTGAGAAGTGTCTATTCATATCTTTTGCCCACTTTTTAATAGGGCTGTTTTTGGCACATTTGAGTTTCTTGTAGATTCTGGAGGTTAAGCCTTTGTCAGATATATGGTTGGTAAATATATTTTCCTATTCTGTGGGCTATCTCTCCCTTCTCTTAATGGTTTCTTTTGGTTTACAGAAGCTTTTCAGTTTCATGAAGTCCCGCTTGTCAATCTTATCTCTTATGGCATGAGCTATTGGGATTTTGATGAAGAATTGGTTGCCTATTCCAATTTCTGTAAGAGTATCTCCTGCATTTCCTAAGATTCTTATAGTTTTAGGTTTTATGTTTGGGTCTTTGATCCACCTAGAGTTGTTTTAGTATATGGTGATAGATAGAGGTCTACAGTACACCTCTTAAACACATTTTTATCACAATCAGCAGCTGAAAGACTACTATAAAAAAGAAAAGAAAGACAACAAAAGAAAGGTATCAGAGCTAAAAGTCTTTAGAGCTGATGAACCTAAGCCTAGTTTATATGCTCATTAGCCCTGGCTTATCCCAAAATATTAAAAGGTAAAATATTATCCAATTAGTATTTCTTGCACAGTGCCATATTTTTTAAATAGAAAATTCATGGAACAATCTCTAACTCTAACATCATTGAAGCCCTTCATTTAGTTCTTGGGCATTAAATTTAATCTTCTATTCCTGCCTTGCATCATTAAACAGTACTTTTACCTACATTGCAGTCAACTATTAAAGACTAATACTGTACTTTACTTTTTATGTTGGACATGAAGCATAAACATTTACAGTTCTGAGCCTAAGTTTTACTGGCTTCAGAAATAAGAGGTGTTGATGAATGAAAAAGTTCCTTAGACTCTGTAAACCTTACTAGCAACTATAGGGAAGTAATCTATGTTTTATTTATTTTACACTTCAGCAAAATTGCAGTACTTTGACTATCTTTAATTTCATTTGCTCTCTAATTATCCTTTAGTTAACAGTGTGAGCTTGTGTGTTTATATTTTGGGATTAGAGAACTTGGTCACTGTAGCAATGAAGGGGATAGTACTTGTCTCAAAGTTCCGGATTACCCTGGTTCCCACAGAAGAGTATGCATTTAAAAGGTGAGTGGGTAACAGCTTGGACCCTGGAGTTAGACTGCCTGAATTCAAATCCTGGCCCTACACTACTCTCTGCACAACCTTGGGCAAGTTACCTAACATTTGTGGGCCTCTGATTCAGCATCTTCAAAATAGAGATAGCAATAATGACTATCTCATAGAGACATTGTGAGGATTAAATGGGTTGATGTTTGTAGAAGAATATTAATGAGTTGGTTTTGCTAGTACAGTGTTTTTTTTAACATGTTAAGTGCTAAGTGTTTGTTAAATAAATGCTATGAAGAAGAGAATAGTCATTATGCAAAGAACAATGATTAAAAGAGGACAAATGCCTGCCCTCGTAAACTTGCATCCTAAAGAGAGAAAATAAGCAAAATAAATTAATATAACATATATCTATAGGTAAAAGTGGGAAGGGGTGGGACAAATATTGCAGTTATAATAGGGTGGTCATTGAAGACTTCATTGAAAAAGTGACACTTGAGCAAAGTTTTCAAGGAAGTATGGAAGTGAATCATGTGGTTATCTGGATATAGGGGAGGAAACCTTCCTTCTAGGTTTGGTGGCTAACCTAAGAATTAAAATAACACAGACAGATTAACGGGAGAAAAGCACACCTATTTATTTAATGTTTTTACAAGTACCTGAGAGTTCTCAGAGGAAAATGAAGACACAAAGATGACTTTATGCCTGAAAGCTTGTATACAGAAAGAATGATAAATTACAGGGATATGACAAGACAAAGGGGCTTGGACTAGAGGCAGAAAATTGTGGGACAGTGATTGGGAAACATATAGGAGAAACTAGTGGAAAATAAAGATGATCTTAGTACGTTTGTTTTTACAGGTCCATTTTGGTGACAACTCTGTCGCTAGTGATAAGAATGTTTTTCTCTTCCTAGTGCAGGGAGGGCATCTTTCTCATAATAAATTTCATGACCTGCTTTTAGGTAGAAAAGGAAGGTGCCTCTGCTGGCTCTCAGTGCCTTCAGCTAGAAATAATCAATATGCCAATGTGGCATACTTTGAGGTATTACGTTCTGAGCCCCTATAAGGGTTAAGGACATTCCAGACTAAGGGAACCAAGGTCACAAAACCACTAAGAAAGGAGCAGGACTGGCATGTTCAAGGGACAGGAAGGAAGCCAGGGTTAGGAGAGCAGAGCATGAAGGTGAGGGTGGCAGGCGATGAGGAGATGGTGCAGGAGGCACAGGTTGGGTGTTGTGTTATTGACCCCTGGAAGGGCTTCAGCTTTGATTCTGAGTGACATGGAGGGCCATCAAAGGTATTTGAGTAGAGGAGTGACACAATTACTGTGTTTAGAATAGACTGCAGGGGACTAAGGGTAGAAGCGGGTGACCAGTTAGAAGCTATTACAGCAATCCAGGCGAGAGATGTTGGTGACTTAGACCAGTGTAACAGCAGTAGGGGAGGTAAGAGATGGATTATGAGA